CAAAACAAGAATATCTATTATTGTGCATTTTTGTTACAATATTTTTGTTAAAGTTTAGATTCTTTTTCTTCTAAACTTAGGATATACTTTTGTATGAATAGAGCCTTTGAGTGCCATCATAACAGTGAAATACAAACATCATACCTTCTGTGTGAAACTTCCTCTTGTGAAATTCTAACTCGTGAGTTGTTTTTACCGGTGTTCTGTAATATTTTTAAAAATTAGTAACAAACTTGTATCCAATGTTTAAAAATATGGCTAATTTAAAGAATAATGCTATTTAAAAAAAATAAATTACAAAAATAATATCAAAAGAAATATAAATTAAATAAGAAATCTCAAAACCAATATACGTATCACAAAAATAGCATAGAGATTAGTAAAAGCGGGGTCGCACGTGATTTAGGGACTGCCACGTCAAATCATAGGTTTAGGTGGGGGTTAAATCATTAAATGGAAACTATATACATAGTATGCAAATTCGATATACATTATTATTATTATTTAATTAAGTTAGTAATTATTAAATTAATATTTATTATGGAAACTTATATACTATTTATATATTTTATTAGTATTTTAATTCTTTTTAAAATTGGATCACAATTTGAATGGTAAAGATTTATTTGAATAAGTCAAACTTGAGTTATGAGTTTAAATATTCCATATTATAATATAATTTGATTTCTACAAATATAAAAGCTAAATTTATATTTCAATATCCTTGGTCATTATTTATTCAAAAAAGAATCCCGAAATTATCCACCATATTAAAAAGGACAACATATTTGAATGATTATCGGTCACCAAAAAAGTATCTAGCATACTCACTTATTCCATTCATGTGTTCGACACGTCGTTGAATAATATATTATATTTATTTAATGGATTTCTCAAAAAAAAAAAAATTATTTAATGGATACACTATTCTGGGATGTTGTTTTTAGGGCTAATATTGAATAAATTTAGTATGGAATTAAATTTTCATACCACCGTATTATTGAAATTTTTCCCCCTAACAAAGAACATTTAAAAATAGGGTGAGTCAATTAAATAAATATAATAGATTAACGTCTATGAAAACGCARCAGTAGTGTAAATGTTTTCAAAACTAACGCACATTTTTTACCTACCACCATTAAATTTATTTATTTTTATTTTTTTATCTTTCAAAAAGTTAAACAGCTGCAATTTTTATTAACCGTGTAAATGAATATCATGGTTCTAAATATCCGTCGACATATCGACATTTTCATCGACATTGCCATGTTTTAATGGAGTTCGATATCGACATGAGGAGTAAATCGACATTTACATCATAGTATAAAAAAATCAACAAAATATAAAAAATATCAACAAAATGTCACTAATATATACATAATATTAATATTAATTATCTTTTAACTTATTTAAAAATATGAAAATATTAATTTGTCAATTTAAATATTTTTTACAGTTTTTTAAATTTGTATAACTTATTACATAAATATTACTGATTAGTCGCCCTCGCCCACATATTTTTGTTTTAAAACTGGAAAACCGAGAAAGAAAAAAGCTTCATAAAACAGCCATGATGATGAGGAATCCAGAGATTGCAGAAATTAGAATATGAAGAGTTTTAATTTTCGTGTGGGAATAAATTCTGAATCTGCAAAATTTCTCAACAACTTTTCCTAAATCTTCCTCTTGTTTTCACTTTATATACCCACTCCTCACCCTCTTCCATCTCCAATTTCAGATTACAAATTCAATGGCGGACAATTTTCTCCTCCTCCTCCTCTCATCCTCCCTCCTCGCCTACTTCATTTGGTTCCATTTCCTCGCCCGGAGCCTCGCCGGCGGGCCCAGGCTGTG